GAAAGGTTAAGAAATGCTAAGATTTTTTTTTTTTTTTTTTTTTTTTTAATTTAAATCAAAAAATCAAGAAATTTAGATTGAGAGATTGGAGCTCCCACAAGGACTTAAAATTAAAAAATCCCTTTTACTTAATATATAGTATAAATTTTTCTCTATTTTGTAGCATTTTGGGTCCTTTTTCGGATCACTCAATGATTTTTTACTTCAGAGGATCTGAACGTGTGCAAAGCTATTAAAAGGGGTAATGCATTGATACTTAGTCGATGATATTCTAAAAAATCATTTGTCAATAATCTCCAAAAACGATTATTTAATGGACGGACATAGCTGCAAAATCTAGTGAACAAAATTAACTTTTACAAGTTAAAAATTGATAAATACTTGGATACAAAATTTAAAATAAAAAAGCTATAACTAATCCCAATAAATTGCAAACTATTTCTTTCTAAAAGACAGTCTCCATGAAATTTTGTAGGGAATTATGGTAAACTAAAAAGAGGCTTCCCAAGAGGCAACTTTAGTTGACTAGGAGACCCAAATTGCACAAAAATGCATAATTAACAAATTTCTTGAAGGTTTCACGTGATGGTGATAGCGATGAGTTGAATGTGTATCTTATTATCACTTTCACGGATGGTTAAGTTGCCAATTAATTGTTGAATGGGTGCTTGGTCTATTTCAAGTTGTCTACAGCTTTGTTAAAATAAATTATTTGCTTAGTGGGAGATTAAGAAAGTAACAATCAAAACTTAAAAAGTGTGAAGTTAATTTGATCGGGGAAAATAGGAAAGTGATGGGTTTAAGAAATCCTAAAATGCAAGTGGGACATTATTTTATAAAAAATTTTCGTAAAGAAAGAAAGAGAAAATGAGAGAAATCAATGCATATTGGAAAATAAGATGTTCGGATGTATACAAGGAAAATAAAATGAAGAAAAAGTAAAGATAATAAAAGGATAGAAGAAAAAAAAATTAAATTGTTGCAATTTGATAGTACATAATAGGGGTAAATCAAACCATTTCTTAGAACTAAAAAATGTCAATTAATTTATTTAAGTTGATTTTTTTGAAATTTAATTATTATATGTTCAATTTAAATTTTGTATCTCTAAAAAAAAAAAATTGTATTAAAAGAAGAGAAAAGATGTTCAATGAATGTCTGCACAATCATTAACTTACACAAACGTATAACTCTTGCAAATAAATAATTTAGATCGAGGCCTATGTCATGTATTCGCATTCGATTGATCTTATAAAAAGAATTTAATTGTCAAAATCAAGTTCAAGTCCCCTTTAAAACAAAAATAAATATAAAATGAGATTATATTTATTTAAAAGGCATAATTACTCTTACATTAAGATGATTTGGGTTGGGGGTGCTTGACAGCTGCACACCACCATTTTAGTAAAAAAATAAAAAATTAAATTACACAAAATTTAACAAGACAAACACATTGCAGATAACAAAATATATAGAAAAATTACAAAACAATCTCAAGATTTGATTATTGTAATAAAATAAATTTTAAATTTTTATTTTTTTAATTTAAATCGTAAACTTTTAGTTTTCTTTTCAATTTGAACCGTTTATCTATTTTCATTAAGTAATAAATAAATAAATGAGTATTTTAATCATTAATTGAATTGAATAATTAAAGTATTATTTTTTCTTTAATTTTAATTAATGAAAATAAACAAATGGTTTAAATTGAAAATAAATTAAAACATTAAAATTAAAAGTAATAAAATTTTAATAATTACTCCAAATATTTATATGTTTATTATACATGAATGAAGAAAACTCGAAAATTGAGAAAGTTTGGAATTCTTTGTTTGATTTTTAAATATATTTTTTTTTGTTTAATTTGGTTGGTGTAGTTTTATATAAATATATTTGATAGTCATATATTATATTTTTTTTTGTATTATATGGTTGCTATAGGTTATATAATTTGAATTGTTTAAGTGTTTTTATTTCAACATTAGTTTGCTTTTAAAATTTGATTTTACAAAGTGATTTTGAAACAAATAAAAATATTATATAACTTAGTTTTATACAATTTTTTGTCTTAATTTTTTTTTTAACTAATCAAACCCATTCAATTATTTATTTATTTAAACTAAACTCATTCAACTAGTAAAACGGATTAGCGAAAATTGGAGTTCATGTTGTGCCAAACGCTCATGCTGTGAGATTCAAGATTTATTTTACTATAATGGTCAAATGCTGAAGTTTTTTTTTTATTATTATAATTTCTTTTAGCAATTTTGTTGCCTTACATGTATTTCTATTTTGTGTAACTTATTATTTTTTTAAAATTTTTATATATACATTAAAGCAGTGTCGTGCAGCTGTCATAGCATCACGCACCTTCAACCTATTTTTAGTTTGGATTTTTAGGATTCATTTTTTAGAAAATTAAATTTTTTTGTTTTTCATGTTTTTTTTTTTATTGAATTTTTTTAATATTCAAAACAATTTTTTTTAATTTCTAGATATAACTAACATAAATACACTTAAAAAGTATAATATTTGTGAATTTTTTAAAGAAAAATCACTAAATATTAAAAATATAAAAGTGATTGATTTGATGTGTGTTAGAGAGAGATTTGTTTGGAAAACTTGTTTGGTTTACAAGTTTTGAGAAATTTTTTTGGAAAAATTTGTTTGGTGTGATTACTTTTAAAAACTTATTTGTAGAGAAAATTTCCCAAAAAATTTTCAGAAATACAAACCAAACGAAATTTTTTTGTTTTTCATGTTTTTTTTTTGTTTTTATTGAATTTTTTTAATATTCAAAACAATTTTTTTTTAATTTCTAGATATAACTAACATAAATACACTTAAAAAGTATAATATTTGTGAATTTTTTAAAGAAAAATCACTAAATATTAAAAATATAAAAAAAATACGAGAATTTAATATATTTTTCATATTCTTGTGTATTTATTAATTTTTTTTATAAATATTTTATTTTTTAGATACATCTAAGTAATGTGCATTTAAAAAAATATAAAAAAAATTGCTTAAAATTTTAAAAATAATTACTAAAAATAAAAAATACTAATTTTTTTTTTTAATTTTAAGAAAATTAAATTCACAAAAATGAAACCAAATAAACTGAATAAAATTTGTTAAAAAATAGAGTTCCAAAAATTTTAGTTAGTGAGTTGTAATTTGCATCAAATTCTTAGTTTCAAATAATAATAGCAAGTTGACACAAATTTCCACCCAAGTTGATGGAATTCATATGGAAAATTGGTGTAGAAAAGCTAGTTTATGCACAAAAATAAATAACACGTTTCTTTGCACAGTCAACCAACTAATAATAATAATGCTAGCTGTAAAAATTAAATTAAAATATTACAAATCATAATCTTTTAAACAAAACAAAGGACTAATCGGAAATAATGAAAAACAAATGAGGGTAATTCAGTAAATTCAAAACAACAAACTTTTGCTATAAAACCAAACAAACTCCATCACTGGTTTAGGTTGTTGTAGCGACCACTCTGCTGTCTCTCCGCCGCCGTGTGCCGGCGTGCTCAAACCCCAGAGCGATGGAATCAAGGAGGGAACCACCACCGTCCTCCGCCACCGCCGGCGGCGGAGTAGTATTGGGTAAGTACCAACTGGGTCATCTATTGGGCAGAGGCAGCTTTGCCAAAGTCTACCACGCGCGCCCTCTCTGCGGCGGCGCTGCGGTGGCGATTAAGGTAATAGACAAGGCGAAAACCGTCGACGCTGCCATGGAACCCAGAATAGTCCGGGAAGTCGCCGCCATGCGCCGCCTCAGCAACCACCCAAACATCCTCAAAATCCACGAAGTCATGGCCACGAAAACCAAGATCTACCTCGTCATGGAACTCGCCACCGGCGGCGATCTCTCCACCAAGCTCCGCCGTCGAGGAGGCGGTGCTCTGCCAGAAACCACCGCCCGCCGTTACTTCCAGCAAATCGTCTCCGCCCTCCACTTCTGCCACCGACACGGCGTCACCCACCGCGACATCAAGCCCCAGAACCTCCTCATTGACGCCGCCGGATTTTTGAAAATCTCTGATTTCGGCCTCTCCGCCTTGCCGGAAAGCCAGCTCCACCGCGAGATGCTCCAAACCGCCTGCGGAACTCCGGCATACACCTCCCCGGAAGTCTTCCGCCGCCGCGGCTACGACGGCGCAAAGGCCGACGCGTGGTCTTGCGGTGTCATCCTCTTCCTCTTCGTCACCGGAAACCTCCCTTTCGACGATTCTAACCTCGCCGCCATGTACCAGAAGATTCGCCGCCGTGAATTCAAATTTCCCAATTGGGTTTCAAAGCAATCAAAGTTTATAATTCGAAATTTGCTCGATCCCAATCCCAATTCGAGAATGAGCCTCGAGACATTGATGGGTCAATCATGGTTCAAGAAATCATTACCATTAGAATTATCTGAAGAACATTGTTTATGTCCCCAATTGGGTGTATTACTAGACAATGAAAGTAAATTCAACGTGAATGCGTTTGATATCATTTCAATGTCATCGGGGTTGGACTTGTCTAGGCTTTTTGAGAATAATGGGAGAGAGAGAAGATTTACGACGAAAGCGTCGGTGTGGGAGATTGAGGAGAAAGGAAAGTAGGATTAGTATCTGTCGGCGACACTATAACCGAGGCAAACATCTAGCCGAGACAAACAGTATGCCCACCGAAAAAAGTTAGGATAATCCGGTTTTGAGCGCGGGTCTCTCGGACCAAGTGTGTGAACAATATATGGGCCTTAAACGGCCACAAAACGTAGGCACGCATGGGGCACCCTTGAAGTATGGTGGTCTATTTGTGACCCAAAAGCATCGCCTGCATCATCCCCTCTATCACCTTACACCAGAATAAGATAACTATCATGTATTTGTATAAAAGAGACAGTTATCGTCTAAATCTGCAGGGTCAACCGAGAACAAACAGAAGGAGGTGTTCTTTGGTAAGGAAGTCGATAGTGTGCAGGATGCGTCTGGACACCGGCCACATTCATTCCTCTGAGACTCCTCCTCTGAACCGAGATGCTTATCTCACTTCATGCCAATCATCCCAACGGTAAAGTACACGACTCTGATATACACCTCGTGGTGACCATGTCACTCAGTACTTAAAGAGTCGGGTCAAAAAATTACCCAAGGAGCTCTCACAGAATATTAGCGTAAGTCACTGTGTAACTAAAGAGAAAAATGGCTTATTTCATTGGTTAATGCTGCTGTTTTCACCTAGTTGGTGCGTTTAGCAAAACCTATAACTCAATTTTTCCAAAAAAAAAGACGCGATGTTGTTCATTTATAAAAACAACTATGATTGTTAATCTTATACTTTTTATTGCAAAACTGAATTTGTGAGTCCATTGGGCCCTTTAGGAACTCGAATTCATACACCAAGACCGTAACGCTAGTGCTTATATCGTTCCTATTTTGTTGGATAACACTACAGATTCCCTAAAACAATAGTCATATTTCGTGGGGATATAATCATCTTTGAATACAACTAAATTACACTCTCCTATGCATAAGAAATATTTCGATATTGTACCTCATGCACCTAACAATCATTATTTCATCACATTTTCAATAACAATGTAAAGGAGACAGACAATTAGCCCCACAAAGAATATTCCAAAAAATGAAGAAAAATCTGTGCTACTCGAGTAGACCGAACAAGAAACAGATATTGCAAGAACCAATAATCCCCATCTACCTACACTTGCCCTCACACAACTCTCTGAGCGAGAGCGTAACTCCACATCGATGACATCATCGGCGTCTCTAAATTCTTCCTCTGACATCTCAGCGTATAGTTTTCCTCCTCCGTTCAGCTGCATCTTTTAAATCGAGGCAATTCCTGCCAAATTTTCCTATCTAACCAGAATACCGTGCCAAATCCCCACCATGGATTGATATACGTTGGAATTGTATAATCCTAAATTTACGTCGCTCTGGGTCAGTTTGTCAATTCCTCATAATCTCTTCTCCTGTTGTATAGTCTTTATTTGCCAATAACATAACGAAAACAATTGCTAAAAAGCGATTATTTAGAGAGCCTCATATGCCCAGTGTGAATCTGGTGATTCTCCTCTATGTGTGTAGAATGATTACAAGGAATTTTTTTAGGACTTTGAATCAGCACCGTCACAATGACATTAAAAACTAAGGCTATCTATCAGTTGGATTATCTGCCAAACTGCCAACTTCGTCCTCAATATTACTGAATATATATTCCATCCCAAATCACAGAAAAAAGATAGCTCTAAAAATATGCCCATGGTAAAATATAAATCCAGTAACAATATCGATAATAAATGTAGTTGAAACTTTGTAATGTTATCGTTCACGAATTAAAGAAAGGAGATACAACTACATTTCATCTTGGATTGAAATTTATAGACTGCCCTCGTGTGTTTAAGAAAAAGACTAAAGTGCCTTGACTTCCAAATACACAAAGCAAATTATCTTTAGATGTACAAAAGAAAAGAACTTACATTAAGTAACATTCAACACCAATTCTCTCGTTTAAATTTAAACCCCCTTACTACACCAGAAAAACACTGTCTGCCCTGAAGAACTGCAAAACACATACCTAAATTGGAATATCCACAATCTTGGAACATTAAGTTTAGGCACATAACATTTAGTGTTAGTTGATCCTCTCCACATGATAATTTTAGGAGGGAAAACAAGGAATTTTAATTCTTGAATGGACGTGCAATAAGAGATATAAGTTTGGTCTAAAAAATATTCCTCAGGCTAAAATGCAAAATCAAAAGATAGAGGCCATATGATACTGGTGACAAATAGTTTTTTCTGCCGCTAACTTGTCAACCATAAATTAGGGAACAATAACAAAGTACCTTTAGGTAAGTCACTAAAAAAGATCCCCGATCCATCCCTGGGCACCAATTGTGAACACGTAAGCTACCTTAATATTCGGTAGTTTGAGGGTCTGCAGACGAGAAGAGATCTGTCTCGAGATAAAGTACTCATCAACTAGGATGTCCTCTACTGGGAGCATGATGCAGTTGCTAAACTGATTCGAACTTTGATAGTAACATTAAGAGGCTTTCCAAATTCCACTCCACGAAAGACACCTGTGAATATGTTTTTATAGCATGACCAAAAAAAAAAGAGTGACCTATTGGCGACCAACTTTTTTGGGGTTGGCTAGAATAGTCCAGGACCCACCAACATAAGATTCTCTCCATCTAGGCTGAAAAAGGGCTAAACATACTAGAAACCCAAGAATGGGGTGACCCCCCCCCTATCCGAAGGATGACTCTATGACAAAATAAGACTCTGGCTATTTGGAGGCATTTCCTAAGAGGGAGACCTAATAAAAATAGAGTTGGTCCGCTGGATAAAAGTTATGACGGGATGGAACTCAACAAATTTTAATAGACGCAAAAAGGGATAAAAAGAATGACCAAAAAAAGTGTGGCGAGAAGGATACGATAATTGAATCTTCAGGTAAAATTTAATGGCAAAAATTGAACTGATCATGTTAAATTCGGTAGCAATCAACATAAGTTAATTAGCTGGCCCATTACAAGGGCCCATTTTTAGAAAAGAGTAATGTTCATATTAAAACTTGACACTTGAGGAAAAAATGATGTAAAAGTTCCAAAAATATTCATAACAACAACCCCCTTTGGGAAAATCAACAACACTGTTGGTTGTTACAATGGAATTGAGTTTAGGAGTATCCATTTTCTATGTTACCAACCATTGGGAAAGTGAATCCTGAAACGAGGAGCAAAAAGAAAGGATAGTTGGTACTTAAGGTAGAGTGGATTGGGTGCACACCTAAGGTGAAAAACAATTCGAATGGCCATATAGAAATACAAAAAAAAAAAAAAAACCAAGACTTTGCTCAAAAATCCATTGGGAGTCAATGCCAAAATAAGGATAATCGAAACGCAACACATAGCAAATAAAAATAAAATAAAAACAGAAGACTTATTAATATTTATACATAATATATTTTGAGAAGTCTCAAGTCGAGATGCCATACTGTGAATCCTGGTTAGGCGACCACAACCTTATTTTTTGCCAGATATCCCCACTAATATATCAAATTTAGTTCACCCTTTTTGGCATAAGATTTAATGAATTGGAACTTTCTGCAGAACCCAATAATGAAAGCTCCATTGTTCGCTACTGATCTTTTCAACTTGGTCCCCACAAATCCAATATTTTATTATTGTCATGATTCGGGCAAACAGTTTTTACCCAATAGATAATTCCGGTTTTTGTTTTCTATAATCTCACCGAATTTTAACACCAAGTCCTACTGAACTGAGATAGAAACTATTTAACAATTAAGAAGTTGTGGGTGACATGTTCAGTTTAGATATTTAGATTGGAGAAATATTACAATCAAATGATGTAGTTAAGTAAACAAAGAAATCAAATTGCAACTAAGAAATAACTTAAAACTAACATTCTGCGTTAGACCTTATATACAAAGAAGTGGTGATGTACAATTCTTAATGTTACTCACACACTTCAACCATGTTTTAGTGACCTCTCTATAATAAACGAGAGTAGAGGAACAAACTACAAATTTACAACTATTAATAATGGAAATCATAGGCTTTTTTGGTTGCAGTATGAGCAAAACCATTGACTTGATTAAATCTATGTAAATCAAGAAGCCGCTATCAGCGAACCTCCAACACCACTATATTTTCCGAGTCAAAAATCGAAATATGGGCAATTTTATGAGACACAATATACCAGGAGTTACCCTTTCTAAGCAAGAACCAAATATGTTAAATGGTCAGCACGACAGTGCTATATTTTCTTGAATAGTAAGGGGCAGAGCCCAGACCGCCTCATGGGAAATGCTTGGTGCCCCCAGGAAAAGAATTACTAATCTTTCCTAAAAGAACCTCAAAAACTGGCCCTCCTCCGAGTTTACCCGTCAAAAGTGGGGTGGAACGACCCCTAACTACAGTTTTTTGAGTCACAATGCTCCCAAAATTAATTTGTGTAGATGCCAAAACGTTTTTATGATTTTTGTTTTGGTTTATTCTGGGGCTGTCCCTGTAATTCTCACTGGGTACTCCACGATACACCAACATTTACAAACTACCATTTCATATAGTTAACTACAATATGTACAGTTTGAGATATTACATGGCATGTATATATTGAATGAAAAAATACATAGTATTCAGAAGAGGAGGATACTGGATTAATTGATTAGACTCTTTGATATCATGTAAGATCGGATGACTCTTGATCATCAGAATCTCCTATGTAATCATTCTATCAAAACACATTTAGACTCGAGAAAAGAATACAATCCAACACACCCAGAAGGCATGGGAAATAAGATAGCCATACACCTATAACACTTATTTACCTTGTATTCTTAGACACACTCCAAGAGAAGAGATTATGAGGAAGTAGCCGCCCAGAGGCGATAAAAAACGATCTATACCACCTACCCCAACAATATACCATTCCCTATATTCCACCAGTGTTTCACTTCAATGCTCGAAAAAATGACCTGAGAAGGAGGAATAACTATACCTGTGATGTCAGAGGTTTGGGATACCGATAGTCATCGCCTATGCAGGAAATATTCGA